GACAAATAGATTGCAATATATGAATGAAGAAGAAGAAAGATTGTTTAATTTATTTAAATTATCTATTCATTTTGTTCATCTAAAATCATCCCTCAAACGGAGCAACTTTTCCCTGTCAGAGCCAAAGGATCAAGGAAAGGAGAAAGAAAGCGTCATCAAGCTACGGGGCAAAGCTTTGAGAAACACAGCAGGGCTCAGGTATCCTGCTATCAGCAGTGTTGGGCAAGTTACTTTGAAAAAGTAATTAATTATAGTCACTAGTTACTTCTTCAAAAAGGTAACTGAGTTCTCTCTCTCTCTCTCTGTCTCTCTCTCTCTCTCTCTGTCTCTCGCCGTCACTCCTAAAACCTCCCCTGTTTTTGTTTTTGGTTTTTTTGCTCATAAGCAGAGAGGTCTCGCTGCGCTGTCCTTAGACAGTAAACGTGACGAAACTATTGAGGAAAAACACGCGTATATCTTGTTTATCATGACTCTGGTTTTACTGGCCGATCAACAGTTTATAAACTGGTATATGTCACCTTGTTGCTTTGTCTGTAAGTGGTCATGTGATTGACCACGACTACTTTATTCTTCCTCAGTCAAACAGCAGCACTCATGCGATTGTTTTGCCCCCTGAGCTCCAGGTGTTGTGCCAGACACTGATCGTGATCGCCGTCCGTGGGAGCGCGCAGCCCCTTAAAGCTGTAGCGTCCAGATTACTTACAGCTACTTCCTGCAGCTGATATAAGCTGCGGTGAGCTGAACACAGCTTCAACCGTCTGTTTGTTGAAGAATAGTAACGCAACCGCATTTCCTTGTTAGTAACTGTAACAGCGTTGTAATGATAGTAATAGTAATTAGATTACTCGTTAATGAAAGAAGTAATGCCGTTATTCCCATCACTGGCTATCAGTCCTCTGAGGACTTTGTGCCCTCGTATGTCAGCCAATATCTCTCACATGCCTCCTGCCATTCAGAACCTCGGCTCAACCTCCATGTGATTCCCAAAGGGCAACATGAGAGGTGGTGAGTCAAGTTCAGTAAGCTTACAGTCTACGCCTCTTCTCGCTCCAACAGGTGAGACAACAAAGGGCTCAGACGTTCACTACAGGAGCGCTGCAGAGAAATTGGAGATGGAAGGAGCAGAAGGGGAGGGTAGATGAATGTATAAGAGCGTGGAAAAAGAGCTGTATAGAAATTAGCACACGAGGGCGATGAAAGGAAATCAGAGGCAGGCAAAGAGAGATCGGGCAAGAAAATAGGAATTGAGTGCAGCAGGGGCTGTAACAGGACAGAGGGACAGAGTGAACTGGAAAGACTACGCAGTAGAAAACAAAGTGAGAATAGGAAGCATGAAACAGCTAGTTCAGTCTTGCATAGATGCTCATCTCAGGCCCAAACTCTTGGATCGGGTGGGGGAGAGGATGAGGAGCTGCTAATTGGCTGTAACACACATGATGATAAATACTGATAGGAGTGAAACATGTATTTTGTGTTAATGTGTTTCTGCCATCAAAGTGCTGATTTGTTTCTTATAAATATAAATATTTATTTTCTCAACTTCGTGTTTTCCATGTTTTCTTTTATGAATAAAATGGGGGTTTGCAGTATTTGCAAATCATTTTGTTCATCAGGTTTTTATCTACATTTTGCACAGGTGCTCTTTTTGGAGTGGGGGCTGTCTGTCTGTGGCTGTTATAGATAATAGATATTATTACACCTAGCACATCTGGAGGTGCTTATAAGCCACATCAGAACAACACTGCTCAAAAATGAACTCAACACATTTTAATAAGAGTTTGACATCGAGTCAGTTAAGCTGGGCATACACTGTGCAATTTTTGGCCCATTTTGAGGCGAGTTTTCAGTCGTGTGACCGTTTTGGGGATCAGCCCGAGTTTCGCTTTAATAGTGTGTCGTGCATAGGGATGGGTATCGTTTAGGTTTTATCCGATACCAGTACCAAACCGGAACTTTTGAAACGGTGCCGGTGCTTAAACGGTGCTCAAACTGGTGCTCGAACCGGTGCTTAAAGAATGGAGAACACAAAATTGGTCCAAAAACCTCTCATGTTCAGCTGTTTTTTTGTAAAAAGATAACAATGTTAGCCTTTTCTGCAGCTATGGGGCATATATGGTATCACTCTTGGCTGGAAGCA